TTCTATTTTATATCTTTACTCGACGTTTCATAATTTTTTTATGTGATTAATGTTTTTATGTTGTAAGAAATTATCTCCTACACATTTAAAAATGGGTAGGGACCATATGAGGCCATACGAAGAGAAGAGAGAAAAAAAGAAAATATGAGTAACACATACTTTATATATGTGTAGAAGATAAAATTATCTCCTACAACTAGGGATGTAAATGGACTGAGCCTTGGCTTAAATATGTCAGACATGTGTAAAATACTTTAGTCCTGACTTAGTCTATTAGGCTTATGTATGTCCAAATTATAAGTCTGACTAACCTATATTTAAAACACAAAAGCTTTTGGCCTATGTCAGTTAGCATGTTTAAGCCCATTAGACATTTAATAATTTAAAAAAATTAAAATTAAAAATTATTAAAATAATAATTGTATTTAAAATACATAATATGATATTGATCGGTCTTTAGACTTATAGGCCCAACTTATAAAAAAAGCCTATGACATGCTTTTTAAATAGGTTTTTTTAGAAGACTGAGCCTGTTTTATTTGATTATATATAATATGCTGAATCTGGCCTGATATAGGTTGGATTGTAGATCCTTGTTATATCACCTGACCCATTACCCCTACCTACAATAGGAGAAACACTAATCCTTTTTTCATCTTCCAAATTTTTGTAGTTATCATTCTAAATTTCTGAACAAACAGCAAATAAAGTATATTAATTTATAGTAAATTAAAAAAATTTATTATATATATTTATATAAATACTAAAAAAATAAGAATTCACATTAATAAAATACTCTCTAAGTATTTTTTTTTATAAATTCTATTTTATTTTAATATTTTTTTTGTAAGTTTTTAACGAAAACAGTATTTCCATAACATTTATTTAATTTAATTTAATTTTTGTATGTTTTGTTAATAATGTATTTTGATATTATTTGTACTAAAAATATTAACATAGCACATGATGAAATTTAATTTATTTTTTCAATTTTCAATAGGGGATGAGTTATTTTAATGGATGTAATTATACATTTTGTAATAAAATAAGTAAAAAGTGGTGAAATTTGAGTGTTATATATAATCTAATGGAAGCAGATACCAGAATATATGACGCTACTTGGATCACGATTTTCTTCTTAGCATGCTCCCAAATATGGCAGTGGAGGAACGCATAAGTCCATGGACAAAATGTTAACAATGATTTCTATAGAGGCTCTTCTATTTTGAGAATTTCATCTCAAGTCAATGAGGCTTGTAGACATGAAATGATAAATTCTCCTTTTAAGAAAAGTTTTGATGTGTTGGTTTCATGGATTCCTCCTGAAGTGGTTGGGTGAAAATCAACACGGATGGTGCATCTATAGATGCAATCCAGGCTTGGCTGCTTATGGAGGCTTGTTTCGGAATAATGCTAGACACTGGCTAGGAGGTTTCATTTATAATATAGGATACTGCTCAATATTGGTTACTGAGTATTGGAGGATCTTAAAAGGGATAGAACTGACAAAGAATAAGGGATGGAGGAAGGTGATAATAGAAAGTGACTCTAGTAATGCAATTGCGGTGCTTACCAAATGTGGTAATGATACTCGTGAATCCCATCTGATGAATAGAATACGAGTGCTTTTGGCAAGGGATTGACTAGTTCGATTTCAACATGTTTACAGAGAAGAGAATCAATGTGTCGACTGGTTGGCAAATTTCTCTTTGGATCATCATTCGATAGACAATTTCAGTCATCTTCAATCTCCTCCCCCTGATCTTTATTTATTAGTCTAGGCTGATATGGCCTCTGTAGGTTTCTTACGTAGCTTTGTAACTTGATTTCTTTTAGTTTTTTTGTTTCTTTGGCTGGGGTGTTTCACCCCATGCTCCACCAAAAATAAAATAAAATAATAATTGTATTTTAGATTTGTCAAATAACAAGGTATTATTATTAGGGAATAACATCTATCATTTTAGATCCTAACCGTTGATTTCCGTCCATCAACGGTTATAATTTATTGGATTAAAATTATTAATTAATTAATAATAAATTTGGCCCATTAAGTTTGGCCCAATAGATTATAACCGTGGATAGACGGAAATCAACGGTTAGGATCTAAAAGGATATAAACTTACATCCTTTAAAATGATAGATGTTTTTCCCTTATTATTATGGTATCAATGATGTTATGTCACCTAAGTTGATAACCTATGATGCACGAACAGTGACACGAGACATGAGACACGACACGTTGATACGTTAATTCTAAAAAATGACATATTTCGACACGTTGGGACACGTTTTGATATTAAATAATATTTTTAGTATATATAATATAATTTATATTTAATAGATATAACAGTTCATAATAAATCATATAACCAATCAAATATTCAAATTTCATAATATAAATATAAACAAAATTAATTTTTCGTACCTTGTTAATTTTTCATGTCAAATTTCATAGCAGAAAAAAATTGATTTATAAATGATTTTTTTTATTTTTAGTTAATAAAATAAAATTAAGACTAAAAAAAATGTGTCTGAGCGTGTCCGAGCGTTGACCACGTGTCGAAAAAAGTTGACTGCGTGTCAAAAAAATGTGTCAGAGCGTGTCGGAGAGTTGACTACGTGTCCCAAAATATTGACCGTGTGTCAGACGCGTGTCGAAGCGTCGGAGCGTGTTCGTGTCAGACACGTATCCGACACGCACAATTCACAAAAAAGAACAAGTCGATGTTTCAGAGTTCACAACACTAACCAAATTAGGTTATGAGAAAAATAAAATTGGCAGTCAAAAAGACTATGTTCATTTAATAATGTAAAGAACTAATTTGAAATAATTAATGATTAATGGACTAATTTAATACCTTAAAAATTTATATTATTTTCAAAAATAATTTAATTTAAAACTTTAAAATATAATTAAAATGAAATTAAAAAAGTATTTTGAGAAAATAAAGAATAACAATTACAATTATTTTTTTGTATGCTAAAAAATTACAATTAGGTAAATTTAATGGGTTTAATGCTTCTCATATTCTAAGAGATAAATTTTATCTCCTATATATACATAAAAGTGTATGAAACTCACGTAGATCCATATGAAAAAGAAGAGAGAAAAAAATATAAATTTCGCATACTTTTATGGGTTTGGTGTTGGCTTTTTGACCCTTTTGCCCCTCATTAAATAATTAATAACCAATTTGCCCCTCTCCCAGAACTATGCACCATCCTGCCCCTATTTAGTCGATTAAGTTGCACTTTTAATCGACTAAATGGGCAAAACTCAGAAATCATGAAACGCGAATTTTAGTCGACTAAATACTCACCTTAATCGACTACATTCGTTGCACTTTTAGTCGACTAAGTCCATTATTTAGTCGACTAAATTTCGCAGATCAAGTTTTTTAAAACCCCCCATTTCGCAAAGGGTGTTATTTTCAAACCCTAATCGACTAAATCGCACCATTCTGTCCCCTCTCTCCAACCAAGTCCGAATCTCAACCCTTGAAGGTGAGATTGAAGCATCCTTGGTTCACACTTGCGAAATCGACATTTAGGTAACGTTTTCTGACTTGCATTTGGTTTTAGGTTTAGTTTTTTTTTTGTTTTCCCATGCATTTGATTTCTGTTTGCGGTTTTGTGGATTTAGGTTACGGGTAGGGTGTTAAGTTTGTTGTGAGGGTGAGGGTTGATGTGGTACCTTAGGCTTAGGGTTAGGGGTTTATGTTGCTGTTTTGTTTGGGTTGTAGTGTTAGGGTTGATGTTTTTATGTTAGGGGCTAGGAATGGTTTTTTGTGATGTGCTAGGGTTAGGGTTAGGGTTAGGGTTGATGTTTTTATGGTATGGTATAGGTATAGGGTTTGTTTTCTGTTTTATTTTAGGATTAGGTTTTGTTTTTTATATTGAATTTTAAATTTTTTGATATTGTTATTGTTCATTGATATTGTTTCCACTTGCATTGTAGGTACAGTTGTTCCCATGGCTGGCCGTAGAAGATCGTCTAGCACTGGAAATGAGAGACGACAGAAGCTACGACAAGACCGTCCGTCTTCGTCAAGTCCACAAGAGGAAGAGCCCGCTCCTGTCGACCTCCCATTCAGATACTTGTTCGAGAATGACCCCGTGGTTCATGAATCATTTATCCGTGACTTTGTTAACCGACCCATATGTGGGGCCAAATCACTTGATACAGCCTTTTTTGAACAAGAAGGTTTTAACATTATGAGTATAATGAAAATGAGACCGAGAGAGTTCTGGATATAGGATTTTCTGCGACATTTAGTCGACTAAATAATGGACTTAGTCGACTAAAAGTGCAACGAATGTAGTCGATTAAGGTGAGTATTTAGTCGACTAAAATTCGCGTTTCATGATTTCTGAGTTTTGCCCATTTAGTCGATTAAAAGTGCAACTTAATCGACTAAATAGGGGCAGGATGGTGGATAGTTCTGGGGAAGGGGCAAATTGATTATTAATTATTTAATGAGGGGCAAAAGGGTCAAAAAGCCGTTTGGTGTTTGTCATTTTAAATGACATAAGTTATGTCATTTTAGGAGAGAGATAGACACAAAAAAACAGAAATCATGAAAGAGAGAAAGTGAGTGGTTTTTTTTAATTTAAAATTCAAATTTTTTGTGTCTGTATCTCTCTTAAAATGACATAACTTTCTGTCATTTAAAATGACAAACACTTTTCCTTACTTTTATATATATATATATGTAGAAAATAAATTTATTTTCTTAAAACTAATTCCAAATTTCATATGAATATTTTGTCACTTGTCAGAATCCTTGCTCCCAGCTCAGCGTGGAGTGCTTGGCGAGAGAGAATCAGCCCTCACTTTGGGCCGTGGCGTGGCCCTTCAATGTACCAAAAAAGAGAAGTTAAAAAAAAAAAAAAAAACCGCCAAACCGCCTTCATTCTGTTTCGCCGGTTGCTCAGAAATTCCAATCTCTGTAACGGCAAGTAGAAAACCAGTCGATAAATGAAAACCCTAGTCACGAAAAATGGCATTGTGTTTCCGATGCACCATAATCATCTTCTTAGTTTCTCGCTTTCTTACGCTCCACGTCGCCGGAGTTCAAATTATCTCTAAATCGAAGCTCGAGAAGTGCGAGAAGAACTCCAACTCCGACGACAATCTCAATTGCACTACCAAAATCGTAGTGAACATGGCTGTTCCCAGTGGCTCGGTAAGTCATGGTCATTGTGGTCGGTTAAGTAAATTAACCCTTGCTACGGAGTATTTTTTTGTATATTGAAGTTGTTTTACGGTGCAGAGTGGAGGAGAGGCCTCGATTATTGCAGAATTGGTGGAGGTGGAGGAAAATTCAACCACCAAAATGCAGACATTGCGGATTCCGCCTGTGATAACGGTCAACAAAACTGCTGCTTATGCATTGTATGAGTTAACGTACATACGGGTATGATACTCCTCTCATGTTAGCCTTTCTTTTTAACTACTCATTTTTTTACAGCATGTTATCTTACAGAATGATGCAAGCCAAGTACGTGGTACTTCTTCCACTTTAATTGTTGGATTATGCGATAACAATAATTTTTTTTTTTTTAAAGAAATAATTATTGAGAACTTTGAAATCTATCATTTAATTATGGTTTTGGAGAATTCCATTTACAAAGCCAATGGTTGTAAGAGGTTTGTGGTCGATGTAGTTTGATCTTTTATATGATTAAGTTTGAGTGGCTTCTTAACAGGATGTTCCTTATAAACCTGAAGAGTATTATGTTCAGACACGCAAATGTGAGCCAGATGCTGGTGCAAATGTTGTGAAGATTTGCGAGAGGCAAGCCATATTTTATTATTAACTAGAAACTGACTATAGTCTAAGACAATATGGATTTCACTGCTTTGTTTCTGGTACTTGTGATGCAGATTGCGAGATGAAGATGGTCATATCATTGAGAATACTCAGGTGGCCTTTTCCACCAAGTTGGCTTTACTTTATAAGTTTGTGGTTAATTGTAACTACGAAGAAAAGAGGCATGTGTTTGAGTATTTAATATTTTTAATGTTAATATCATCGTATTTGCATTTGAAACACTATCAGTTAATTGTGAGAACACCTGCATTTTATGGTCATTGATAGTCATAGCTGACACACTTAGTAGAGTCTTTACTTTGTAAATTGTTAATTTTAGTTTTATTTAGGTAATTGGTCAGTCGAGAAGCTATCTTCCCTACCTTCCCTGCCTTCCTTGTGATGGATGATATTGATATGCCTATACACACATGATATTATGTTTTTATTATTACTCCTTTTGTAAGGAAAATTTCCAGTTTCTCTGGTATTTTCACCCTTTTTTGAAAATAAAATTATACCGTTGTTTTTTTGAGTCTTGATATTTTAAACTATTACACTATATTGTGAAGTCAATCTTAGTTGACAATTACAATTTTTCTGCTATGGGCTATGATGATAATTATAAAATAAATTATTCAAAAAGAAGAACAATTCTGTGCTTGATTTTTTCCTCTTATTCTTTGGCATTTTACCTTTCACTTCTGATTCATGTTTAACATTTCTCTCTTTCCATCTTTAATTTAGCCAATATGTTGTCCATGTGGACCCCAGCGGCGGATGCCTTCATCATGTGGAAACTTTTGTAAGTGCTTTGATGTTGACAGCATTCTTGAGTTTTTAGGAAACGTGGAACTAACAATTCTGGGTGAAATTGTTTAACTAGTTGACAAATTGACAAAAGGAAAGGCCAACACTGCACACTGTGTGCGCTTTCCAGGTGATTGGTAAGCTTCAATGCTCCCCATCTTTTTTATTCCAATTCTGATTGATTTGCGCTATCCTGGATTTATGGATTTTTAGAGGTAACACATGGAGACCATGTTTATATTGAACCAACCGTATCTATCTATCTATCTATCTATCTATCTATCTATCTATCTATCTATATATATATATATATATATATATATATATATATATCATTGTGCATGAACAATTTCAAGTTATCTTTCTTTTTCTGTTAGTTCCAGATTCAAAAGATACAAAAATTGTGTAAGTTGTAATAATAAAATAAATTCCAACAGAGTTTGGTGTTATTTCAGGAATAGAGATGTAGCACAGTAGAGCACAATTTAGCATAAATAATTTGATTAGTGCTGATGTATTATGCCCCTATCTATATTATACTAGTAATCTATGTTAAATACATGTTCTACTCAATAACACTCACATTGCACCAAAAAAAGAAAAAAAGAAAACACTCACAACATGCTAATACAATTAGAACTTAACTCAAAAAAATAGTATGTTATATTGATTACTATTTTATAAAGAAGCTTTGTTATTTAAGATTGGATATAGTGTAGTTTTGTCTTGTAATTCTAATCACCTCAGAAATTTGAAAAAGTCAAAATGACTTCCTTGTTTTGGTCACTTGTTTAAATTCAGATTTCCTTCTCCCTCTCTCTTTTTCATCAATTCAGGTTTCATGTCTTTGGTGTTGGGCAGCGAACATTGGGATTTAGTGTTCGAATAGAGGTGAAAAGTGGAACTAAAGTTTCGGTATGTAATTATTGGTTTCCTTATGCAATAATATTATATTTAAATTATGTAATTATTTTGCCTCATGATACTGGGTTTCTTTATCACTCATGATAACATTTAAGTGTCTACATGTACCATCAAATGCCACATGACAAGTTACTCCACATGCCAATGCCTTCCCTTCTTATTCACAAAGTTTTAGGTTAGAAATCTTTACCCCTATTACTCAAATGTAGAGAAGGGAGGAAGCATCGCGCAGCATCACTATATACTGACAGAATCAGCAAAATGTTGGTTTCAATTTTTACTAGCCCTCTTGATTTGCTGATGTCTTCAAATGTTGGTGGCTGCAACAAGTATTTGGAGCAAATTTTTAGTACTACTGTAGTATGTGTTCCTTTATAAAAAATAGAAATAAGTGAAACTTGTGTGGAATTAACCATAAAGGAGTGGGTAGAGTAAATGTAGTTTGGTGGATCACTTTTTCCGAACTTTACTGAAGGAATATTCCAAGTTTTGAATGTTACATAGATGTTACCAATTTATTTGACTTTGGTAATGTGCCAATATGGCATTTAACAGTATATATAGGCACTTAACATGTCACGTCAGGGCTGTTGTTAACTTTGGTGAAGGAGATTTAACAGAAGAACTAACCTGTTGTGGATTTAACAACTTTAAGGACTAATTTGTATATATAAATGTCATTTGTGTGAATCAGAATAATATTTCAATTGTTTGAGCATATCCTCTTCTACTCGTTGTAAATATTCTGTAATTAGTAGGCCAGCTTATTAATATTCTATAATTAGTTGGTCACTTCTTTAGTTTCCTAAGATAGATCAATCTGTTTAATAGATCATTTATTTCGTTAATTGTTTCTCCCTAGTGTTATGCATGTCTCTCCTCGTATGTGTAGAGACTTCTGTACATTTGAAAAATATACACTAGATATTTTTTCATACTATAAATTAAGGGATGATATTGTAAGTGTAGGATATTTTCTGGCATTAAATTATATGTTTACTCAATTAAAAAATGACTTTACATTTTCTTCGAAGCCTTCCTTTATAGATGGTCTTTTTGCGGTCATTATTGCCTGCTAACTTTACTAAAAGTATTATTTGTTTGAATTCTCTGGAGTCTTTGTTCTTTCTTTTTCTCATTTCTTGATTCATTTGGTAAACTTTTTCCCAACTGTTGTAAAAAAGGAATATGTTACATTTTATTTATGTTCTCTTCTAATTTTTTTTTTCAAATGTTTGTTTGAGATCATTATGAGCTGTTAAAAGTTGGTAAATTGAGTAAAAATATCATTTATTTTGATTATCTTGTATGATTCATATTATAATGTGCTTGGGATGGAAAAATAGTGAAAAATGCTTAGAATATGCATATACATATATATCATACTATTATTGGAGAGGTTATGCTTACCACCTTTTTTCTTGTCACCTCTCACAACCAATCTTGTTATCATTGGATCAAAATCAAATTATTGGCTTTCACTCGATATCATTTTGTAACCGTTAATTTATAACAAGATTGGTTATAAGAGGTGGTAAGAAAAAAAGGTGGTAAGTATAACCTATTCCATTATTATTATTATTTTATTATTTTATTTTTCCATTTCTTTGTATCTAACACAGAATTTTGTCCATCCATAATTTGGCTGGCAGGAAGTGGTTGTGGGTCCTGAAAACAGAACAGTGACATCTGATGATAAATTTTTGAGGGTTAATCTTATTGGAGATTTTGCTGGGTATACAAATATACCATCTTTTGAGGATTTCTATCTTGTTGTACCAAGGCAGGTATGCTTGCTTTACTGGTTTCACCTTGGTTGGTCCTCTATTTACTCTAGTTGTTGAAGTATAAATCTATCTTTTTGTTTGGCATATGTTGCGAACTAAATATGTTGCAGTAAAGCAAAATTGAGGTTGAATAAGGTTAAAGAATTGGTTTGTTAAATTGGCTTCTTGAACAGTTCCGTTATTTCCAAGTACAACTCCTCTTGACACTTTCTGGTAATTGGCCTTTATCAAAGAATTTTTTGAACATAGTTTTATTTTATAATAACTAACCTTATAAATGGTGTTTAATCAGTTGCACATATTGAATGGGTAAAAGGGACTAGCTAGCAGTTTTATACATACCAGAGAAATTGTCTAGTAAAATGAATTGATTGAATCAATTATTGTCCCGTGTTTGTTAATTATGCAATTCTAAATCAATTTTGAGTGGTCACTGAATTATGGACAGACTTGAAAACTAGGTCATGCCTGTTGTTTTTGCAGTTTGAAGGCATACATTATTGTGTTTCCCATGCACACTGTATATGTGGTACAAAAATATCACTTGGTGGCTTGGTGCATATTCCAGTCAATAGTGCGCTAGTAATAGTATGATATAGTATGAAGGGAATGATATTTGATCTAGGGCATTATGAACCTCCTTATCATTCTAGATCATGCGAAAGGGGCTTCTCCTCTCCAAGATCTTTTTGTATGTTGGACAAGCTCGGAGGTTCCATGATGTGTTCTTGCCAAAAATGTCAAGTTATTAACATTGTAATTATAAATAAGGGTTAGGAACACATTATGTTTGTTTACTTTGTAGTGGTTATTCAATGAAGAATTCTGGCAGCATGAAATAATATTAGACGAATATAATTTTAGGGCACTGTGTTCCCTGTAGTCTCAACTGCTACTCTCTTCCCTAGGTTAGTCACTTTGTTTATGACTATGACCTTTTTTTCCCATTTTTATGCAGATCACACACATTAATTTTGGTATTACTGGTGTAGTTAAAGAAGAAAACAGCAATGGATAACTTTTACATACTTTTGCGTATTCACAATTTACAAGCTTAAACATAATATTTGCCAATTTTTCTTATGGCAGGGTGGCCCTGATCAACCACAGGATTTGGGGAGAAACATTTCTATGTGGATGCTGCTTGAGAGAGTGAGATTTACCTTAGATGGTGTTGAATGTAACAAAATTGGTGTTAGTTATGAAGCTTTCAATCAACAACCGAGCTTTTGTTCTTCACCCTTTTGGACTTGCTTGCATAATCAATTGTGGAATTTTCGGGAGGTCAATTTTTTTTCTCTAATTCATTTTCTCCAGCTTGCTATTTTGGTTTCATTTTCTTCCTTTTCACTTCCTTTTGTGAAGCTGTATGGATTCTCCATGCATGGAATGTATTTCTTTAGTGGTATACTTGTCTTTCTTTCATGTGCAGGTACCACTTGACCCAAAAGCTTAAGTTGTTAAACAGGGATCATGGGATGAATTTTAATAACTTGACACCTCACGTGCGCACACACACAAATCTATGACTTTAAGACATGTATAATTGCATCAATGAACATATAAGTTGCTTTATTTTAAATCATGTTTATGTTGAGTAGAATTTAACTGAAGCTTTCTATGCAGTTTTCTTATAGCTGTCGAAAATTTGAAAAGCTTTCTTTTGTCAGGCTGACTTGAATCGAATAAGTAGGAATCAGGTGCCACTCTTTGGATTGGAAGGAAAGTTTGAAAGGATAAACCAGCATCCAGTTATGTTGCAAAAATTATATATTTATTTTAGTATGGTGCCGTACTGCCCTCTATTAGAAATGATTTTTTATTTGATTTGTCTTGCAGGGTGCTGGGAGTTATTCTTTCTCAATAGGAATTACAGAGGTTCTTAATACAAACCTTGTGCTAGAATTAAGTGCCAACGATGTAGAGTATGTTTACCAAAGGTATTATTATTTCCTTGGTATAGATATTATTTCGAAAATAGTGGCATTCTTTGTAATTACATATGTCATGGATATGGATCTGTCATGGCTATTATTATTAATTTTTCCCTTGTTTTTAAGCACTCTATCCATCACTAATGACTGAAAACCTAAGTTGTTGATAGTTTGTAATTATTTCCTTGTGAAAATTTGGTTATCCTTATTGTAAGCTGACAAAATTGGGCTTTTTGACCCTTTTACTCCTTAATAATTAAAAAATAACCATTTTGTCCTCCTCCTAAAACTATACACCAGTTTATCCCTGTTTAATCGATTAGACTGAATTTATTGACTTAATCGATTACATAATCGATTACACCAGCTTCAAAATTTTCAAACCATTTTTCTTCACACTCTTTGCATGCCTGCCACGTACCCCTCCCTCAAGTTTCACACCTCTCCACTCGCCATGTCAATCACTTCCCATTTGACCAAGAAAGCTGATAATTTAAACAAACAACTTGACTGAATGAAGGAATGCTTTGAGAGTGCTTTGCGACCCAACCGAAACAAACAACTCAGCCATCAATCCTCCTTTCCACAAAACCACTTGGCTGAATGAAGGAATGCTTTGAGAGTGCTCACCATCACCATCTTCTCCTTAACTCTCAATCAGGCCATATCACCTTCCCACCATTTTTTTTTTTTGTAATTTGCTTAAGTCACCTCCCCCAAAATCCACATGCAAGACTCCTAGACGACCTTATACTCCATGCTCGAAGCAAGGAAGTGCAAGGTGTCCTTAGCAACTTTCCCTAGTACCATTCAAGTGGTTGAAGATAACATGCAAGAGGTCCTCTAATAGTGACACATCCATTAACAAATAGCGTGGTTGAGTCGAACTCCTGTTGAAGAAGAGATACAAAAGAATGGAGGGGAAGAGGCTCACATGCACCCATTTCATGAAGGTATCCTCGGCCAGGTGTGTAACATGTACAATAATGGCATTCAACAATGGGTCTTTCCCAACTACCAAATTTTCTCTTCTCCGTTGGCTAAGGAAATGACTTAGTGTTTGAACTATCAACTTTCTTGGTCAAATGGGAAGTGCTTCTCTGATGGTGAGTGGATGAGGTGTGAAACTTGAGGGAGGGGTATGTGGCAGGCATGCAAGGAGTGTGAAGAAAAATGGTTTGAAAATTTTGAAGCTGGTGTAATCGATTACTTAATCGATTAAGTCAATAAATTTAGTTTAATCGATTAAATAATGGATGTAATCGATTAAATAGGGATAAATTGGTGTATAGTTTTAGGAGGAGGACAAAATGGTTATTTTTTAATTATTAAGGGATATAAGAGTCAAAAAGCCGACAAAATTGTTTAGATGTTGAACTCTGTTGTCATTCACTTGCATGTGGCAAGGGAAACATAAAATATGAAGTTAGGTGAACTCTATATATATTTTTGTTTTTTTTTTGTTTTTGGGGGTGGTGGGGGGCAGTTTCTATCACTTTTTCTTATCTGGAATCTGGATCACCAATAATGGAAAACAATGAAGTTCCTGGTCATAAAGGGAAATAAATATATTGAAAATAAATTTCTCGTTGTATGCTGTATTATGAGATGGTACAGGGAAAATATTTTAAAAAATGATGGCAAAAAGTTTCAGTTTTGCAGCCGATTTTGTTTTCAATGATGCTGGGGAATGGCTTTTGATTTGTCATAATGTCCAGCAGAAATATTGTCTTTATAGTAAAATTTTTCAAAATTTGTTTGACATATTCCCTTTTCTCTAGGAGCCCAGGAAAAATTGTAAGTGTTAGTGTCCCTACATTTGAAGCCCTAACTCAATTTGGAGTTGCTACAATCACAACTAAGAATACTGGTGAGGTGGAAGCATCATATAGTTTGACGGTATTCTGCTTCTCAACTTTTTCATCATAGTTCTTCACATTCTTAGAATATTATGTTCAATGTTGTGCTTGTTGGCATCTATTTTTGTTATCCAGTGCTCCTTTTACTTGGACGATGGATTGTTGATTTGATATTAAGTTTTGTGTCGGATATGCGTGATATTAATTTCTATACTTGTAGCAAAATTTTTTAAGGCTTGAAAGTGTTAGTGGAGTTCTGTTCTATTTCTTTGCTTATAAGATCCGATACGCAACTAGGGGTTGTTATAAATTTTTTATAAAGAACTGTCTGACCTATGATCATATTTTATGTGATGGCACAATTATTTAATATCATGGTACCTAGCAGTTTAACACAATGTATCACATCTTCCTTGCAGGAGAAACATATCTGTTTGGTTAAATTATCTCTAGTTATTTGTTGAATTGACTGCATGACTTGACTATGATATTAACAGATGCATGCTGCTCCATATGCTTATGTTTTATTATTTAGGTTACAAAATTTGGTTCAAATATATTTGAAGCTTGCATAGCTGTAATTTTCCCAGGGTCCAACAAGTTATAGTTTTAGCTTTTATGTATTGTGTTGTGTTGCAGTTTAATTGCTCCAAGGATATCACGCTGATGGAGGTATTATGCTGAAACATAAGCTCAACTTCAGCAAATTGTTTTTTTGCACCTTCCAGTTTTATGATTGCATTGGTCATTTTTTTTGAAAAAACAAAAAACATGGTTCAGGAGCAATTTTTAATAATGAAGCCAAATGAGATTACATCCCGATCATTCAAAATCTACCCAAACACAGATCAAGCCTCGAAATATTTTTGTGCAGGTAAAGTTGAAGCTTAGGATTAATACATTGTTATCTGTTCTGAGGATAAGGAAAACATTTATGTTTACATTGTGTATTTTTATTTTTTTGGGTGTTTGGACTGAAGCCATATTAAAGGACTCTGATTATAGTGAAGTTGATAGAGCTGAGTGTCAATTTACTACTACGACAACTGTTCTTGACAATGGAACACAGGTTTGTTCTTTTTTGGTACCAGAATCCTATAACATGAACTCGATTGGACATTTGATCTATTATGTAGCTGACCCCACCTAGTGGTAAAAGACTTTTGTTGTTCTGTTCTCCTACGAAATGAAACTTATTGAAATTAGTATACAATGTTATGATGTTCTTAAAAGCTGTAACTATTCATATTATGAGAAAAATATTTCCCCCCCTCTAAATGAGGATGGGACCTGCTATATAGGTGAGATCTACACAAAAAAGATAGTATGTTCCAGCCTTCCAGGAATTGTTTAGGGTTCATTCTTGCATGAAATGTGATCAACAATGCATGGAATTGATTCTGATGTGGCTAAAAGCTTCTGTGTGGCCATCTATCTACCTTACTAACTGATAAGACTGGTTCAGGTATAAAAGAAAAGTAAAGCAAGCACAGTCTTTTGGTCCAGATAACTGGATTTTTCTGTATTAATAACAAAGAACAGTACAAAACTATGATATCAGCTTTTACAGAAAGAAAAGTACAAGGAAGTAAATGGCTACTACGAACAGAATGAAAGAAATACCCTGCACCCCAATGATACAGGTTCAGTACAATGGAAGAGGTACTGATTCTCTCCCAGTCCCAAGTCCCAATCCTTTTCTGACTATGCTCACGCCCTCTGCACCTCTTTATTCCCTCTAACAACCTTGCCACCTCAGCATTATTTCCTTCTCTCCTCTAATAGATTCAGCCTTATGGAATATTCTGATTAATAGTCCTTCTCCAATAATTCCCTACACCTCTTCCTACCGTACACCTTCAGAGGCCTCCTATCACTAACCTTCTTACTTTGATGTTATTTGTCTTAGTGTCTGTAATTGAAGAGTTGCTGACTGAGATGAACTTTCCAAAATTGCTATAAATGCTAATCGATTGTGTTGAAAACATTTTTCATTCTAAATTTTTTTTAACAAAAATATGTAAGGGATCATAATTCAGAAGTGGTGCAACTAATGGCATATGCAGGAATGGTTCATGATCTTGAACTTGAAAACCTATTGCAACTGCCAGATGGGTGAAACTGTGTTGGATGATTATATAGCAACTAATTGTCTGTTCGACTCTCCTGAAATTTGCCTATGTTTCGGTATTGGTCTTCTGGCTGAGATTAAACAGCTTGAAGTTATTTTGGACGTAGGAGATGACCAAGAAGATCTTCCAGCAGTTCTTCCATCTGCAATATTACTACAAAATACATTTAAAATTGTGTTTCTATTTGCTTAAAATGATTATTCATAAGCTATAAGTAAATCAATAGTAGAATGAGAAAAAGAACAGAGTAGAGTAGTCTTAAGTCGTCAGCTTAGTTCTTACCATTAGAATATCTAGAAAATATCGTATAATATCTTGATTATATCTTACCATTAAAGTATCCTAGATGATCTCTCAAGAATAGTTTTTCTATTTCCTTATATTTTATGATTTATTTCCTTAATTTAGTGGTCCTCTATTTAGTATAAATAGGGTTTATTACTTTGTCTTTTGTATCACATCACAACACATACATAATATTCAGTCTCTATTATCTCCTTTTCTTTTTCTTCTCTCTATACCTAAATCCCTGCAATTTTAACAATTCCTATTGAAGTAGACCAGTCTGAGGGATGAACTTATTGTAAAAATTGTTCCCCTAGATATTTTAAGTTCATCAGAATGATAGTCTTCTGATTGTTTACCTAAAGATATGTTAATTCTCGGTGATGTGATGAAGTCTGTTATAACAACAAAATCGTATGATTTTGTGGACCACTAAATCATCGTTTACTGCAGGGTATGCCTTTTCAACCGCCAGAGACCAGTATAAATGGTTTCTTTGATTCCATCGAAAGCATATGGAATAAATTATGGACAAGCCTTATAGAATTTGTCACTGGAAAGACCTGCAGGTATTATTTTCTACTATACAGATTATGCCATTTAAATTCTAGAATATATGTGAAATATGGTTTTTCAAAATTTTGTATCATTTAAAATGAAAACCAAATTTATTCACGGGGAATATTTAGTTGCTTTGATCTATTGTAGCAATATGTATTTCTTTGTTAGAACCCCGCTCCCACTTGGTCAGAAATGAGTTTCCGTAGTCATACGGAGCCTTTTCCTGTTCTCGTCTTGTCTGTTTCTAACCTTTGGTGGAAAAATTGTTTAGTTTGAAATGTGTGGAAATGACAGAGAAGAACAATTATTTGATTGGTTGTTCTAAAAGTGGAATATTTCTGCTTGTTGTTGAACTGACTGTTGGGAATAGAGGTGTAAGTGAGTTAGGTCAAGTTATGCTTTAGCCTAAATACGTTAAGTCTATGTAAAATAGTTCAAGTCTGACTTGATTTATTAACTTAATACAAGCTAAATTATAAGCTTGGCTTGACTTGTTTTTTAAAATTACTAGGTTTGGCTTAACTAGTCAAGCCTACCAAGCCTTCAAAAATAGCATATTGCATTATGTAAAATATAGGTAATAATTACTTTGTTTCTTCTGTATGTTTAAGTTGATGAAAAGTCAAAACGATATAATAGTTGAAGCTACAACCTAAAATATTGACAATTTAACTACATTGCTGAAAATCAAAAACAAGATAATGGCAAGAATGAAAAAAACTTAATTAAATTTCAAAACAATGAAACATATTCACTTATATAATCCCACATAATAAAAAGGAAAATTGTGATGATGGCAATAGTCAAAATTGTGGTTAACAAAAGATGTGTTTGGCAAGTTAGACAAGGGAAGATTGCAACTAAAATGAGTAAAAGAATTAGGTTAGAGGGAGCATAGAGGAGGGTTAGAAAAGTTAAAAATAATAAAATATTATTTTATTACAAAATATAGGCCAAGCCTTTAGACTTATAGGTCAGGCCTAGGCTATAGTCTTATTTCTAAAGAGATTTTTTAATGAGTCCAAGCCTCAACCATTTTTAAAACGAGTTTGGCTAAGTCAGGTCAAAGGCATGTCAGGGGGCTGTAGTCACCTGATAGGCCAACTAGCCTATTTGCATCCTTAGCTGTGAACATCTCCAACGCAATATTTTTATTTTTATTTTTCATGAAGGAAATCTTTGAAATATTTTGTCATTAGTTTAAGCACAAGGGAAAAGGCTAGGATTATTTTCTGCAGAAACTAGAATAACATTCTAGTCAATAACAGAAGGATAAAAAAAGTTGGTTTGCTTAGTTGAGATCATTCTTTTATTGGCGTGTGGATCAAAACCTCTTCCTCATTTTCTTCATATTCTTTTATATGCAGTAATGAGTTTTTGCTATGTTGGTGTTCTGGTTGTGTAAATGATTTAAATATTTTGTCATAAACTTTATGGGAAAAGTATCTCTTCAGTCACCAGAGATAAAGTTATCTCCAATGAGCTCAAACGACGTCGTTTTGGGTTATAAGATTAAAAAATTATACTGATAAAGATTAATATAACCCTGCAATATATTATAATTATAAAAACACCTTGATTTCTGCTCTAAAACGACATCATTTTGGGCTCATCGGAGATAACTTATCTCCATTGACCGGAGAAATCCTTTACCCAAACTTTATTAGTATAAATCACCTACACATACAAGCAGGGTATCGGAAAATCAATAACTATGCATTGCCTTACTTAACCATACATAACCTATGTCTAATATTGACTTATTTTTCTTGACAAATTATCTGATCAAATCTCTACTTCTATGGCTTGGTTTGTTTGGGTGAACAGACAAAAATGCTCTGGATTTTTTGACTTCAAGTGCCACATACAATATATATGCTTGAGTTGGGTAATGATGTTTGGTTTGTTTTTGGCAATTTTTCCCACAGGTATGGCTTATATTTAATGTCGATTAGTATATTAAAATGTGTAAATTCAGCAGAACAAATTAAAATAAGTTCTTTGAATTGCAGTGCTTGTGCTATTATGGCTTTTGCATGAGAAGGGTGTATTTGATCCTTTGTATGACTGGTGGGAGGATATTTTTGGTGCTAATGAACAGATCAACATGGAAAGACGTAAGTTCAAAATTGACAATGTACACCACCATATTCGTGATAACAAACATCATAAGCAAGAATTTAGGCACTCCAAACGTGGTGCTCAATATAGGCGAAGGACCAGTTATGAGCACAAGCACAGGCATTCTGAAAGGAACTCTGATTATTTACATAATGTTCGGAAAGAAAAGCACAAGCATGGACATAAAAAGAATATGGATATTGTGCAGCATATGGATGACAATCCTGCACATCACAAACGCAGAAAGGAGCGGGACACTTCAAAGGGACTAGTTAAAGTGATGAAGCTGAAGCATGATAATGAGAGGCAAGAAAATTATGACAAATACAAACAAGTTCTGCTAGATGAGCAAGGGGCTGAGTAGAGAAAGTTGTGGCCCGAATTTTATAATTTAATGTAGTTATCTTTTAGTTTTAGGCATTACAATGTTTTAGAGCAACTTTTTACCTACTTCATAGAATCACAGTTAGGTTTATCCTTTTCTTTTATTTTTTTGTTTTCTACTAGTCTTCCTTCTCCTTTCCTTTACTTTCTAACGGGACGGGGAGGACAACAATTGAGGAAGGGGAGTTATTTAGAATATAATTCATTGTAGTCATGCGTAAGATATTTCTATAGAAACGACACAATCTGAAAAATTTATACCATTTGTTACAAAGTAAAAATTCCCTTCCCATCCCTCACTGCCTTTTTCCGAGGTAAGACATGTTATGTTTTGCGACTGATACATGCTTTTTAAACTTCTCCCCTTCAGTAATATATTGAAAAGAAAATCTAGTTAAAGCACAACTTTGAAGTGACCTAAACAAAACTGATTAAGAGACCGTTATGCTTACATCTCTGGCTTCCTTAATAAATGTGTTGCCTTGTGCGTCTTGAAAATGCCAACTATTGGGAAGATATAAAGTCTAAATTCCAACCATATGCGTCTCTCTTGCGGAGTTTTGGTTTCTAGTTTGTAATGGTATATTCTGGTTCCTGCTTCCTTAATTGATCTTTCTCCATGATCTGAACGTGAAAGCCATTTGGAAATTGCAAACCAGGAGTTCGTACAATATTCCCTCCTTTGATGGGTCGCCACCTGAAATATTCAGATGTCAAAGAGGGTGTTTTGCGTCTCAATTTAAATTTACACGTGGATACACTATTGCCGTTTCATAATCTTACCTGTACTTTGTTACCAAGCTATGAAGAAAAACAGCCATCTGAACCTTAGTGAAGTCTGTTCCAACACAAAATCTCATGCCTCCACCGAAAGCCATGAAATTTTTGCTGGCACCATTTAGCTCCACTCCCTGTACGTAGGCCATTTTTTTAATGTCACTAATTCGTAAGAGAAAGATGATGGTAAGCTAGAACCTAAGTTACTATATTTATAGCTAGCTGGTAGTTAGTTAGTAGCTAGAGCAGCTAGCTACATTAACTTTATGGATTCTTTGAAGCAGCTCTGAAACGATAGAAAGCTTATGAAAGAAAATTACAAAATAATAGACGTACCTCCCATCTCCATGGGTTGAAGACAAGAGGATCCTGATATTTCGCCGGGTTCAAGTGTACAGCTGGCGGACACACCATGACCGCCCATCCTGCTGGTATGGTATATCCTGCATGTATTAATTGTAGACCAAATGAGGTAACGTTGTCAGATGCAGTGTGCTTTTCCATTACTTAAATCACAAGGTATGTATGCACTGTACCAATAAAAGTTGATAATTAGTTTGTATAGTTTAAATTCGATTCCCATCAAATAAATTTTGTTAAATCAATTGAATTTTGCAATTAGTCCAATATTTGGTTGTATATCTATCAAAAACAAAAACTGTCTTTTTGTAGTTGTGTGATGATATTTGTGCAAACCAGCAATCACATACCCTTAAAAGTAATTTCTCTTAATGTCTTCCGGAAGATTCCTGGAACTATATTTGCTAGTCTCACGGTTTCATTTATGAACTGCAAAATGTCATGAACTTTTAAATGAGATATGTACACGTAGAAATTAACTCAAAAATTGTCTCTTGCCAAAAAGAAAAAAAGAAAAAAGAAGAAGAAATTCTTGATCCACCTGAAATGTAAATGTCATTGATTTGTATTCTTTCCACGTGACTCCGGAGTTAGGATCTTCACGTCGTTCGAGGATGGCTTCATGTTCTTCCTAAAAGGCACATTACCGAGGGCCTTTTTTTATTTAGTAGAGGTCAAAGTGAAGGACGTGGAAAGCCATAAATATAGTTGAAAGATTAAATATTTTAATATTTATAACATACTTGTAATTGCTTGAGCACCAAGGGATGGTCAGTGAGTAATTTCATGGCATAAGTCAGAGCCAGAGAAGTGGTTTCAAAGCTTGCAAAGAGGAGCACAAACATGAGGTCCAGAGCTATTGCTTCAGTTAGGATTGTTCCCTCTTTCTTCAGTTCTTCAATAACAAAGTCAAAGAAATCTGTCTGCTGTTTCCTATGCATTTCCCGTCTTTCGTGCAACATGTTCTTCAGCATTTTCATTGCCCTTTTCCTACCCTGAGAGAGATCAGAAGAGAAACAATTAGTGGTGTTTTTCAATCTTTGGCATCAAAAGAAACTATTTTGTATGATAGGAAAAAGAACAATACTACATTCTTTGTTTAGGCCTGAACCAGCCAACAAAAATTTCAAAGAAAGAACTCACTGAGCATATATATGAGGTGAGGTCAAATATCATGACTAGTGTTGGTGGATAATGGACTTACCTGTAGACATTTGTGATAAGCAGTTCCTGGAACATCCAGAGGGAACGAGATGAGTCCTTGTATAAATGCATCAAAGTTGTCCTTTAGATTCTCCAAGGTCTTGGACGAATCATAAGTGATAAGTTTTTTCGCAGTTAAATCAAATATCATCTACATGGAAAAGTATACATAGGAAACCATGGTTTAGACATAGAATGGAAGAAGGAGACAGAAGAGGAAGCCGTAAGAGGGTTTCAATGAAAATAAGAATAGTTAGTTTCTTGATTATACCCTTGCTGTTCCTTCCTTGAATTCGACACTGTCCTGATACGACCACTGCTGTAATGTTCTGCACACTGTCTGTTCAACTTCAGAGAGCATCTTTTTAAGGCTTTCAGGACCAAACAGATTCAGCACCATGTTCTTAAGGTACTTGTACATAAACCCATGTAAGGAACCTACATTTTGTCTTCCAAAGATCTCTGTGAATGTATCTGGATACCAGCTCTGGAACACTTGTCCCTCCTGTTGAAAGATGAAGTAATTAAGATCCGGGTCCGTTGATACTACAACTGGTCGTCCAACCAAGTTGGTCTTGAAGATTGGTCCATACCTGAGATACAAAATGGATGATGATAAGTTCAATTCATTAAAGTGTGGAAAGAATATCGAGTTTCTAATTAATCCTCAGGTGCCTAAGACCAATCCCTTTATTACCCTCTAACCAAAAACGAAGGCTTGCATTGGCTACTGAGATAGTTATATACCTTTTCATTCTCTGCCTGATGAAGGGAGGAATATCAGAAGAAGTGTTAGGGGAAAAGAACTGAAGGCTCTCACCCAGAAGAGGCAAACCCATTGAACCTGGTGGGAGTTTTCCATTACAACTAGGATTTCTCCATCTATAAACCCAATGTGTAATACCTATAATAATCAATGCTCCAAGACATAAAGCCCACATTTTTTTCTTTTAGAGAAAGAAAAAAAATGGAAACTTTGTTCTAAGTAGAGAGAAGATAATAGATTAAAAGAGTGAAGTGCTGAAAGGGGAAGAATTAAAAGGAAGGGACAGGTTCAGAGTGGCAGAAAAGAGGAAAGGCTTAAAGTGGGTAAGGAGGGAAGAATGGGCAGAAAGGAGTAGACAGTGCTGGCATGCATATCAGCATCTCAGAAGATGTTCTTAAATAGGCAGGCAGGCCACTTCATAGAACGAGTTGGAGAAAATAATATTAATTTTGGTTTCCTTTAGTTTTTCGGGAAGCTGGTTGTTCAAAAAGCTGTACAAGTAGTTGGAGATAGAATAGAATAATTGGAATTATATCTGTCTATAGACCACTTATTGCTTTGTCAACGGCATATATGATGTGTTCAAGAGCCATTGCATGATATGAATCTTACTGGATGCTTCCTCTTTCCCACGTCTTCTCTGTTGAAGGAAACTTTTTGTTTCTTTTTCATTATCCTGATTGTGGTAAAGAGTCCATATAACACGAAATAAAGAAGCACGAGGCAGTATTACAGCAGTTTTTTAGGAGATTTTGCGGGTATTCTCTAGATTTGATGAGTTAAGAGGTTCAAAGAATCTTTATGACCAAACCAAGCATCTCAAGTAAATCTTTCATGGATCATTATATGCTTCTAGTCCTAAACTTCTAATGCCTTGACCAACTTGAAATCTTTCCAATATCTATACTAAATTCTCAATCTGTGTAATGTTGATACCCACAAGAGGAGGCACGCATACTATTCTTGTCATTCCTTTGTTCTTATGTGGAGCAAGATCTTTTCATAGATCTTTTTTCTCTGCAACCAAATTGATAATTTCATCCCAACTAAACTGTCATGTCCTAAATCTCAAGATATACGTCATTGGTGATTCCCATTGCACATTGGAGGGCTCTAGAAGTGCATCCAACTACTATAATACATGGTCTTGTTTTTATTTTTGGTGACAAAATTAACCGTAGCTAATGCTAATCTATTTAGGTCAAAAGACTCGAACAGAAAAAAAAAAAAAAAAAAAGCAGCTAAAAGACCTAGTTCATATGGTAGAAGAGTTTTACTCATTGAGCACCGCCCCATCTGCCCATTGAGCCACGGACTTGACCAAATTGCAGCAATTACCATGATATAGGTAGGTCACTGTGAATTATGTCCTATCCAGAGCATTGGATAAGTTCTGTTAGATAAATAAATTCAAGTAAACTATCTACCCAAAAAAAATAAAAATAAAATCATGTAAAGTGGACAAAGTGTACAATTATCTATTGTCAATCCCAAATATCTGGCAAAAGGTTATGTAATTCCTTTACATAATGTACAGAGACTTTACTAGATAGGTACAATCGAGATATCCAAGGCCATAGCCTGTAAAGTTGACCTCATTAGCATGGTACGAGGTGTCATGCTGCGGTGCTACATTTGGATACTCTTTTTAAGATTTTTTTTCTTGGAGATTCTTTTTAGGGCCAGGTTATATTTACAAATTTTTACAAACTACACTATATTCTCCCGGGAGAATAACAAACTTTTACAAACTACACTATGTTCTCCCGGGAGAATATAGTGTAATTTGTAAAAAAATTCAAAAAAGTTTGTAAAAGAATCATGTCCCTTCTTTTTAAGTAAAAAACATATAATGTAAGAGTAGAGTTATATTAACAAACTTTTATTATACAAATTTATAAACTATATTATGTCTGACAGGTAATACTTTACTCAAGAGTGTATTATCGGTCAAACATAGTGTAGTTTGTAAGAGTTTGTAAACAATAAGTTTGTAAATATAACATGGGCTTGATAAGTGTCAAGTCACTGGATATAAGCATTTTTTTTCCAGTCACTAAATCATAACCGTACAAAAGTGAATCAATGGTGATAAAGGAAGAGAGAAAAAAAGAGAATCATAACCATTCAAAGGTCAATCAATAAATATAAAAAAATAAATAAACAAAACGACGTAATTTAATACTGACTTGACCATCCAGTGACATAATAAACAATAAACCCATATAACATTCCTTATAATGTAATATATGTTTGCACATTTTCCTTTTTTTTTTTTTATATATTGTTGAAAATCGACAATCACACAAAATCGACAAAACAGAAAAGAGAAAAAAGAAGAGAGATTGACATGGTGATTTATCCTGGTTCACCAAATGTAGGTTACGTCCAGCTTGTCTGTACTATATTCACATCACCGCCACTAGTTACAAGTCACTCGGTTTATACAAGAAAAATATAAATATGATTAGGAAACTCTAATAATAGCAGCTATTCACGGGCCCAAGCCCAAACTATTAAGAAAATTACAATAAATCAGAAGCCCACAACAATTGCCTTTCTGCTGACGCCGACAATAAAGGCTCTCGTCACCATGCCAAGTACGAGTCATACCCAACATATATAACTACTAAAAAACAAAACTCCATTTAATATAATATCCGGGACAACTCAATTACAGAACCGAACTCTCAAAATTCCATTATAATTATCATTATATTGTCCCTTTTTTTTATTGTGATGGAGGGTAGTATGTCCATTTCTATAATCTATTCTCTTCAATGCTCAAATTAAAATGGTTGAATGGGTAGTCTTCCAAGAGGATGACATAGATTGCTTAACTGTTTAAAAGGTATTGTTGAAGAGAAGCGCATTAATAATGCCAGATCAATGAACCCTATTTAATTCTAGTTCACAACTTGTTTTATAATGTATAGTGAAGTGTTTTAAGAAGTTATGTATAGGTTTCTTCTATTCTCTTTTCTCTGTCACACAATCTCCTCCCTTTTGTTTTAAAGATTACATTAGCAAATGTATGATTTTCTAATGACATTGGAAATTTTAATGATTTGTGAGGATTGGATGAAGTAAGGGGTCCTACCTGTCTGAATGTAAAATGGCACAAAATCTTGTGGTGGGTACCCATATGCAGCTGCTCCACTTCAAAGAGATCCCCTGCTCCATGTTCCACCAATTGATCCACGGGTACACTAAGTGTACCAATATACTTGACTCAGGATTTGATGATGTTGGGTTGATCAATATGATATCTGGTACATCTATTCAAAAATTCATTCACCAGGCTTGATCCAAATGCCCATACAGTCTTTCAGCTTTTAGCACAAGCAGTAAAACCCAGATGTGTAGTCTAGTGAATATAGTTTGTATTGTAACCTAGAAGGAAATAGTGTTCGAGAAGAAAAAGGAAAATATCGGAATTACTGTTGAAGAATCTAATGTGAATGATTGAGTGAAAGAATTCTATATTGATTAAGAATGGATTAAGTGAGCACCATATAAGTGGAAGGACCCGTGCATCTAATGATTTAAGGTTTTGGGTTTGATTGTGGTGTTCCGAGCCACTTAATGTTACTGCTTATTTAGCTCATGGTTGGCGGTCTCTTCTGGCTCTTTTCTCGCTATGAGCTCCCATGGCACGGCCCAACAATTGATATCAGAGCTAATGCTTACCATATAAGTAGAAGGATCCATGCACCTAATACCTTAAAGTTTTAGGTTTGATTGTGGTGTTTCGGGCTTACTAATGTTACTGCTCCCTTGGTCCATGGTTGGCGATCTCTCCCCGCCATGAGCTCTCCTTGCATGGTCGAACAATTCCTCCCCTGTAACCTATGTCCTACAACTAATAGGAATACTCACAAAGACACTAGGTCAAAAATTATAATTATTAGTTAGAATGTAAACTTTTTCTATTTATCCTTATCACCCTTCCAAACGTTATGATTTGATCTAACTTTGACCCCATATTCGATCTTACCAACATAGAATGTTGACCTCTCCAACTAAAAATAATTAGAAGCTCGTGACCTATATAATTTTTTCATGATCCGACTCACAATCAAAAATAAATAAATATTGACCATCCTATTCCTGTTTTTTATTTTATTTTATCTTTTTACCTTCTACATATGAGAGGAAACATCTACAAATTCTATGGGCCTGAATCATAGAAATTCTTCTCTCCAACACCCTCAATTTATATTTTTGCTCCTCCTCCTTTGATTGCTAAAGCCATTAGAACATTTTTAAATAATACGAGCCATCTTAATTAATACAGATTGTGTCACTTGAGAAATGGCGTGAAGTTAGTCCTCTCTCTCTTTTTCATACCTTTTAACCTACGCTGCTATTTATGGGCGACAATCCTTTAAACTTGGCTTGTTTTTATCTTTTTTTTCTTTTAAAAAAACTAAATATTTATTTTGGTTCCTGAAAAATTAGATAAACGTCACTTTAGTCCTAGAAAATATGACATTAATATAAGGAATTTATTATTCTTATATTACATAAGAAAGAATTTATCTTTTACACACAAATTTAAGATGAGTCTCATTCTATTTTTTTTCCTCTTCACCTAAAAATAGACCCCACCTGCATAAATGACTCTGTAGGAGATAATTATAATAATTATCTATTATCCTTAATTTAAAGTGACATCAAAATCTTCATTCACAAATCACAAAACTAAGGGAATAAATTAATGTCCATTTCTGAAGATTGAGAGAATAAACTATTATTTTTTACTATTAAGAGATTGAAGTGATGTTAATTTTTTTCAAACCACTGAATCAATATTATTTTCCATCTCTTCATAATTAAATTTATGTCACTTATTTTTTAAAATCCAAATTAATATTAACTCAATCTCTTAACATCTTAGTTTTTTAAGTTTTTCTATAGTAGATTTAATAATTCTGAATTAAAATTTCAAATATAGCTTTGATTTGCAGATTTGGAACGTTCAAGAGTCTATATGTGGTCAAAATTTGTTTTGTTTTATGCGTGCATCCACCTAGTCAAAGTTTTGGTTTATTTGTTTGTATAAACAACTTGTGTATTCCTATATACTGAGACTAGTATGTCAGATGATATTTTCTTCTTCTTTTTTCTGCAACACATACAGTGATAATCATCATTAGAATTTTAGAAATATGT